CCCCCGGCCCGGCCGTGCAGCCCCGGCGCTCGCCGCTGGATGGGCGAAGGAGGCAGGGGAGCTGCGTGCTTCTCGCCTACCGAGGACACCAGTGGCCATTTTCTCGTCATTGCCCACCTCGAGGGGCCTTACCCTGCCCAAGCACCGCCACAGGCAGCTCCTGAGAACGTAGGGGGCGAAGATGGCCCTTGTCCGTGGGTGCGGTCCCTGGAGGTGGGCTGATGCCCCACCCGCCTCACCGCTGGAAATCAGCTGGAACAAGTTCACACGCTCCCGGCAAGAGCGAGAGCCCAGTGGGATCCCCAGCAGCCGAGGTACCACAGTGGCTTGTGATCCCACCTGGAGGTGACACGGCTGCGACCACGTCCACACGTGCAAGAGAAGCCTTGCCAAGCATGCATACAATCACAGAACGCTCTGGGCTGGAAGGGACCCTTGAAGGTCAACCAGTCCAAACCCCCTGCAACGAGCAGGGACATCAACTAGCCCAGGCTGCTCAAACCTGGGCTGATCAAGAGTCCCTCCCCAGCTTTCCTGCAGCCCCTTTAAGTACTGGGAGGCCGCTCTAAGGTCTCCCCGGACCCTTCTCTTCTCCAGGTTGAACAACCCCAACTCTCTCAGCCTGTCATCACAGGGGAGGTGCTCCAGCTCCCTGAGAATTTTTGCGGCCTCCTTTGGACTCGCTCAAGCAGGTCCAAGGCTTTTCTCCACCTGTGTCTTTCCTGTCATAGAATCATACACAGGTGGAGAAAAGCCTAGGCCCTTACTCAAACACACGTCCAGTGACTGCTGAAGGATTATCAAGATCTACAAGTTTGATACCACTGGATATTAAACAAGCCCTTTCAGCTGTCAGCTTCTTCATTCATGTTCACAATGGTTCTCCTTTGTATACCACCTCACTTAGAGGGTTGCATACTATAAAATAATCCTGGTCGTGGGAATTTCTTTTCCTTTCTTTCTTCCTTTTTGATTTCAGGAGCTGCCAAGCTCAAAATCCAGCACAAGTTACAACCTCCCTGAATTTACTCAATTTAGCAAGGCATGCTCAGGATTTCCTGAGATATAAACTCTCCACTGCTGTCCTACTTCTGACCCTCCTGTTGTTCACCTTCTGCAAGGCCCCTGAGGGTGCAGTTTGTTTGAGAAGACATGTAGGAGGAATTCTCCCCTTGTCTTTCAGGGATTACCAATGAAACCTGTGTGGGAGGGATCAGCAGTGCAGAACAAACCTAGACTAGAGTTTCATCATAATCTAATCTATCCCCAGAAAAAGATAGCACACGTTTCTGCAGTGTCATCTCTTGCAAATAAGTATGTCTCTACAGAAAACGTGTACAGGATTTGGTTACTTCCTACAGTACTGTATTTTTAAACACAAATAATACCTAAATGCAGGGTCAGATGTTCTTACACTGAAGCAGTAATAAAACTCGCAGCTCAGCAGAAGCAGCTCAGAACCAGCAATTTTTCAGTGTTGTGATTATTTTACTAGTATTCTTACTGCAAGTCTGTCATAGCATTACGTTTTCCTAGAAAATAACGATTTGGTTTAAGAAAATGTATTGAACTAATGTTCAAGCATAGCTTATGAGATGTCGCCACAGCATTTAATATATTATAGCAACACCTGCTGGTCTTGATATGGTTAAGAATCTGTTAGATGACTATTTCCATTATAAACTCCAAGTGCACAAGCTGGCCACAAGAATTCAGTTTGGATTTTGACATGAGTGTATCGTTTGTCCCAAGAGTTGTAAAACACCTTCAACTATCTCACAGAGTTTGATGGGGTTTTATTTGCATGACTGCAGCTTTAAATGGGCTCTTTCAAAGACATGATTTCAACCATGATTAACTGAGGTCAAACAGTTGTTTCCTTTTCCTAAGTAAATGTTCTTAAGTCGTCAGCTTAAAATAGTCTATGGTGTGTCCAGAAGAACATAAGAATATGCTTGTATGACTGAAACCTTACCTAACCCCATTCAAAAAATAGCTAGCTCTTATAGATCACTGTTCATTCAGAGATTTCAAAGTAAGTTACAAAAGATATACTATTAGAGCAGACTGAAGGATGGAAGTACTCTTTTTGGAAAAATTTCAAGGTCAGAAAATGTATTTTCTTTTTGCATTGGAACAAACCCAAAAAGCTCTGAAATATTTTCACACAAACAACATTAAGCTGAAGCCGCTGTTCCCTGCCCCAACGGGTCAGGTTCCAGTTTTTCTTCCCTCAGAAAGGTTTATAATGCCAAAAGAAAACTAGATCAAAATCAATACATGCAACATCTGGATTTCAGTGAAAATGCTTTTGTTGAAACCATACCAATCAGCTGTGATTGCTGACCCATTTTAGAAATGGGGAACATAGGAAGGCATTGGTAACTTGTTCCAAATCATTGCAACAAGTCAGAGGCAACGCCAGGATCCCATTCCAAATCACAAATCCAGTTTTTCCTCTCTCACTATTACTCTCTTACTGATTTTTACTCAGACTCGCCTCCATAAGGCTCATGTTTTCACTCATATCGTCCAAGATGGATTAGGAATCTGCTATAAAGAAACACCAAGATACTGTGTATACAAATCAAATGACAGTCTATAGTTGATCATACTCATTACATCTCTCTGCTATCACTGTGCTCAGCCAGAATAAACACCTGGATGAAGGACAGCTGGCTGAAGATGAAGATGATGTTTAAGTAGCCAGAGGTAAAGACTCTAAAAAACCAGTCAGTACTCTAAAATAACCATCTGTCATAGGCATCTCTCCTAAAGTAGGAAAGATGGTTTATTGCCTTGGGGCACTTCTGGGCTGCTACTGGACTGTCAAATAGCTACGGCTGCAATGATAACAACAGCACAAAAAAACAAACCTTGCTACTGTCTGTGGCTCTCCTTGAAACTGTGCTTGGCCTTGCACAGTGTTGGTCTTGCAACAGTTATCTTTGCTTCTGTTAACTCTTGGTTACTCCATCTTGGCATGAGGATGTTGGTACAGAGGAAAACTTCAGTTGTTTCTGCATTTAAAACCCTGTTTTGCTTAGCTACTAAGGTCAGAGACAGTAAATTTCACTTCAAACAAAACCGAACTAAAAGATTTTGAAAAGAACCTTTAGTAAAGCATCGCTCTTAGAGCCAATATCTGCAGAGCTCACCGTGCAACTAGTCAAGGCAACAGATTCCAAGTCAATCTGACTCCAGTTCATCTGGAGCTGCTAACTTGAACCAATACAGAGGAACTAGATTTTTTTTTCACCAGATAATGAAAACTGTAGATTGTGCAGCAACTGAATATGACCGAGATACCCCATCATCATCTGGACATTTCCCAAGTTCAAGTTTTCCTCAAAAGTGGTTATAAAAAAGTTATAAAAAAAGACCATGTCAGAACTACAAAGTGCAGTCAGAACCCTTGGGATCACCATGACTTCTGTTGTACAGTCCCACGTATGGTAGGTACATACTCAAATAATCAATATGAGCTTCAATTTTTTATGTTTTCTGTTGAATTCCATTTTAATGTCCCTAGAATGAGATGAAGAAATTGACTTGCTGATGAAACAAAATAAGTAAGATTTTACTTTTGAGGAGAGGCAGGAAGAGGAGAGGATGATTGAAAAGTTGCTTGAAAGTTTTTTGAATTTTAAGAAGCTTAGGTTGAAAAAAAAAAAAAGAATTCAAGTTAATAACCGTAAAATCATTCCCAACAACTTTTGCAAAAGGACACAAGATTGATTTACCATATCTAAAGAGACATACCTTTCTGATCATTCTACCACACGATAGGAGACATTTGCAAGAATGAATAATGTGTAGAAGGTAAGACTTTGATGTTTAAAGTATTTGAACACTAGCTTTAAAGAAAAAAAAAAAAAAACACAGACAAAATATTATGCCAGTGATCATCTGCAACTGTAAATTCCAGCTGTAGTTATTCACACACACTAACATCACCTACCATCTTCCTAATGAAATCCCAACTGCATTTACTAGCTCATCGCTTCGAGTTTTAATACAGCCTAATATTTTTCTACTTTTTGTACTTACTTAGAAGAAAACAGCAACAAAAACAGACAACAAATTCTAAGATCTGTTAAATTATCCAGTCATACAGAACTGAGGCCCTCATCCTGTTGTAAAGAGGTACTGCAGTCCACCAAACGTGCATTTGTGCAGCCCCTTTCTTACCATAGTCGCAGCAGACTCTGTAAGAAGAAATTTGAACAAACACGATGTTTACATGAAGTTGCATGAAGCTTTTTGCAAAAGTAGCTAGCGAGTTAGGAGCGAAATAAATAAGGAAGCCTCAGCTGTCTCATACTTGAGATGTTTCCAAGCAACCTCGTATCTTTTCTGCTGCAGCTGTGGAGAAGATGGCAAGCTAGTGTTATAGTAGCACAAGAAGGCCAATAGCCAAATAATTCCCCTTGCAACAAGACATTGCCAGGTTCCTAAGACTTCAAGCAGCCGCTCTGCTCACACTGATGTAGAGGCTTTGGAGCATGTTCACAGAAGTGCTTTGGCCAGGTAAGGCAGAAGGAATCCCCAAAGCCATGAGGAATTGCCACGCAGTGATTCTCTGCTGGGAACATTTAGTGCTGGCTCAGAAAGTGAAGGTGTATGGCGACTGAATAGCCCTGAATATAATCAATGTCTACTTTACTACTAGAACAGAATGGCAACACAATGTGCTGTGCTGTGGTTTCAACCAAGATGAATGTGTTTACTTTAGTAAGATGACCTCTCTGCTACACATATTACAGACACGATGCCATAAGTGTTTATTAGTGGGGTCACAATTACACTGTGCAAAGACTCATTCATAACCAGCAGACCTACTCGAAGTGGTAGGCGCAACACGGGGATTAAGCATTCACAAGGTTAGCCTGGAGGTGCTGAATTTTAGCTTCATCTTGAGGATGGTTCTAAATCAAATGAGAT